TGTTCCTGAGTTTCACATACGCACTCATTGACATATCATTGTTCGTGTGCAACAAAACTCCAATACTCTAAAGACAGATCATGAGCCAGGGCACAATCAAGGCCTCCAAGTTGTTGATAAAATTCTCCCTGCAAGGATCATCTTCACCATCTTCATTGCGGTCATCAAAGTACCGTCCGTCATCCAAATCGCCTAAGAGAATTTCTTGACCTGAGTGCAAGCTGAGTGACTTCCAATCTGATGGTCAACAATTGAACAGTCCGACGGACAGGCAGAATGCAAAATCGATGGGCAGAGATGGAGGAACTTCCAAAGCAACAGACTAGGAATGATCTTAGACTCATTAGCCCATTGAACATACAGTCCGACGAGAAAAATCACTTAAAGTGACTGAATCTTATGCGCTCCAGCTGGTCGATGATGAGATCAAGGGAGTTGATGACCGCCTGCAAAGCCGTGCGAGTTCGATGGGACGATGGGGAGCATAAACTTCAAGTTGAAGCTTACCAGCTGGCCTCAATCTTTTGCTCAGCAGAGATAGGGGGCATGCTGAAGTCCGGCGAGAAAGGTCAATGTCCGTTGGGTCCGGAGGATTTGAGTCAAAAGCTGCGGTCCAATGGCAAATGAGAAGGCTACTGGTACTACCTGCCACAATACTATTAAAGATCATTTTGAGCAAAAGAAAAACTCCAGAAACATGCCAGGCAGACCTCTGTGTTGATGAAGATGAAGTAGAATGAAGCACAGCAACAGCAGCAACAGCAGTAAAAATAGGATGTCCGGCGAAGCTATGTATTATGAATATCCCAGAGTCAATTTTTATCCAGAGTCTGATTTAAAAAAACTGCTGATCATATTATATGGCCTGGAGGATGAATCAAACCACCGGCTTCGACTGAGCGCCCACGACCGAACTGGACCAGCCAGTGACCCTTAGAATTGATGCTTAAGAGTGACAACCCTGGATTTCACGCCACCTTGCGCAACCAAACCAGGGAGCCCACTGTTTTGACCGGAGTGGGACCCAAGAAAATCGGCAATTCGGCAGATTGTCGCGGCATGTGGAGTAGCGGCTCCAGCCTGTATAGGACCTGGTTCTTGCTGGATTTCTTGGTGGTTTCTCTCGATGCCACCCTTATCTTGCCGCTTGACATCATGAACGTTGACGATTTGTTGCGATGTTGGAGCAGATGGTGGTTGCATGTGGTTACACCGGTGATCGCCGGTGATTGGTCTGTATTTCTTGAGGGGATGTGGATGACTATTGAAATCCTCGATTGAATCGGCAGCACATGTTGAACATGATGCATTATATAATTATTATATAGATAGATAGATAGATAGATGCATTATAGCCGCCAATGTGGGGACATCCTTTCACAGGCGCAGTCGGACCAATGTGGGGTGGCAGGCTGTGGCTCACGTCACATCCAACGACCCGTGTGGTCGTTGATTTTTTTTTGCGAGAAGCCCAGGTAGCGAGATGTTCTCTCTCTCAACGATGGCCAAGTCGATGTTTTGAGCAGATAGCTAAACACAGCGGGTGTGCAAGATTGCCCTGAGTGTCAGGGGGGCTCGGAAGACACATCCATCAACCTGACAGATGTCCAGCTCTGGTGAGTTGCCACAGACTTCCCTGAAGGGGCCACATGAGGGGCGAGGAACTCGATGTACCGATCGGCACCGTTACTCAACAGTCAGCCACCGAAGCAGGATCACCTTTTTGGGATAGTTGGTTTCACCAACTTCAACCCAACAGGCAAAACACTTGGTGAACCTCTACCTACAGGTCAAAGACCTCTTTGTACCGGAGTTGGTCATATAAACACCCTATACTCGACGAGGTTGTACTCATTCTTTGGACTTTTAGGTGTTATTTTCCAGAGGGTCTGGATCTCCTCGGGGGAGAGAACACGTTCCTCCTCGTCCTCTCCGCTGGGCGCACTCACACTCACCGACCCTTTCGTGGATGGCCGTCGAGGTTGGAAGTTCTGCTGGAGGATCAAGGGGCTGAGGCGCCTCCAAGCGTTCCGACCTGGAACGGAGCCATGAGCGAACAAGAGCAGTTGGAAGAGTTCGAACAAGACCTGTGGATCTGATTCTGATCCGACCATGACCGTTTTTCTGAAACATCTCGGGTCATTGTTGATGGTGGAGGTCCTGTTTATGCACTATCAAAGGGGCTCGCAGGTGGATACAACCGCGGATTTGCGTTCCCCACCAGTAAGCCCATTTAAGCCCCATAAAATGATGGAGCGTACCATATTCCAGGGGGGAGTTCCGGGGGGATATTATCAACTTATAACATTGTTTCCGAAAAGCATCGAAAAGCCAAACGCGCTCAGACGCACGGTGAGCCGCGCAGGCCGTTTTTCACCACCCCGAAGCTCCAAAACCGGCTGCACTCCAGGCTGGTCCTTCAAAGTGGCCCTTTAAGATCTCGGGTGGGGCTTCGATCACATGAGCCTCCAGGTTTGGGTCACTGGCTGGGACCCTCAAGTTCAGTCACGAACTTTCAGAAGCTGGAACACCAAACAGCCATCAGCCCCAATCGCCACAGACTGGTCGAGTGTCTCGCCTGCCCCGGACCTGCTCGGACCTCAGTCCGCTGGGCAGGCTGGCCTGAAATCTGCACGGTTTTTGCGCACCTTGCGGATGTTACGCCTGGTGCGCCTGGCCCGGGTGGCGAAGCTGCAGCAGGAGAGCGGGAGAGCGGAGGCGGAACCCGCTGCGCTGCAGCGGCGGGAAGGATTGGGAAGGCTGTTGGGTTGGATGGCTCCAGAGATTCAAGGGACCAGCCCTCAGTTTCCCATGAAAAATGAAGGTTTTCCACATACAAAAGCCTTAAGCCATGGGTTTTGCTGGGGAAAATCAATTTTTTTGATCTGGGAGTGTGTGTGTGTGTGCCAGTGCCATGGAACCTTGGAGTTGGGAATGCCGATGACCGGTCCAAAGAATCCAGCCCTTCCAGCTTTCAGCTTTCGGTTGAAGAACCCGACTGCTGGACTATCCCAGGTAATCGGTACCCCAGGTGTTCCGGGTCCTAGTTCAGCTCACTATATCCACCTCTGTTGGTTCTCTGGAATCTTAGGCCATTGATCCAGTACGTTAGCCAAAAACCTTCAAGGTCACTTAGGAATCCTTGTCTGGCAAGATCTGGAAGCTTAGGCAATCTGGAATCATTTACTGCAAGCATATATTTAACCTTTAATAAACAAAGAGACCTGACAGTACGTTGGGTCCTGAATGGCGGCGAAAAGGTGACGCACAAATCCAGGCCTCTTTGATTCTAGAGCTAGCCATTTCGTGGGACGAAATGGATCCAACATGATCCAACTAATATCCTTGGAAGGGGTTGTTGTGTTTTAACCCAATCCGCTGATCCCCTGTGGCTTGCCTGTCCAGTCCGTATTCCACCTGCGTCAGAGATGGACGATACCGGCCCGCCATATGGCTCTCCAAAACCCCAAGCACCGAATACTAAACTCGGAGGTTATATAAATGGTGGACCTCGGTGGAGCACTAATTCGCCTCACTATTAGATGGTATTCTCACCGAAGACTAAACTTGGTGGAACACCCCCAAGCACACTCCAATTTCGAGGGTGTTTTACATCAATGGAGGGAGTCTCCTCGTTCTTCCGCCAAGTCGTCGTTTCTCGCGGAGAAGAGAGAGTTGAGAGGTCTACTCCGTCCTCTTGTCAGGAGTTCACGCTCTTAGCGAATCGCTTTTTGTCTTCCCACGCCTTTCTGATTGCCAAGATCCTGGGAGGTTCGGCGCGTCTGGACGCGGGGAGTAGGACGCGGTTGACGCGTCTAGCGCGTCGTGTGACGGTGTGGGGAGTATGACGGTTGGGCTTACTGAACGTTGGAGGCAAGCAGGATTGATCCTGTGATCCACTTTGCAGGAATCGTCCGTGCGATCCAAGTGTAGCGGGGACCTGCTTTAGCGGGGAATGTAATGTTCGACCACAAATTTGCCTTCCAAATTGGTGGCTATACCTTCGCCAGAACTCATGGCACATCCAAAAGCTGGTGTGTGCTGGTGTTGAATATATGTGTTCTATTTCTGGGAGTTGAGGCCCGAGGTTGGACGGTTCGTGCCATGCCTTCGCCAGGTCTACTGATGATCCTTGCCATCACCCACTTCGTGGCCTGTTGCTGGTACGGCGTGGCCGCATGGACGGGGCCACGTAGACAGTCATAGACAGAAAGATGTGACCCCCCCCCAGTGGCAAACTAGAAAGATGTGTTATTTGTTTTGTACTACTAAATGATGGTGTCTCAAGATCACCCATGGAATCTCAACAGGGATTTATTTGTTCCTTCAGGTTTCCCATGTTGCAGCGGATTGGTGCTTGACAGCTGCTCCGAAAGTGGATGTCCGATGGTCCGATTCGGAGCCCAGATGAGACGACCCCACAGGTCACAGGACTTGGGTCACCTGTTGCCAGCAGGTCACTGTTGTGCACAACTACCAGGACTCAGGACCTTCCAAAAGGAAGTTTTGGGATACCCCTCAAGCCTCCAAGAGGCTACCACCTATTATAGACACTCCTTGGAGGGTCCTGGTATATACAGTACATCCGCAAGGGGATTGAGCTACAGGTTTCTAGGCCAAAGAATTTGCTTCCAGAGCTCTTTCACAGCAACATCCAGTAGGATCCATCATTTGAAAGCCCGTCGCTTGGTTCAGTACCCATCCAGCACGATCAGTGACGAAATGACCACACAATCAGCTATAGCTTCCCCGGTGGATCCCCATTTTTCACTAAACTGTCGTTCGGTCCACGCATTGAGTCTTTGAGAGCCACTCCTGCAAGTCAATGAGCTCATTCTACTGGAGTTGGTCATGCAAAAACACCACTTAAGGAGGCCAAACGACCAGGCTTTTCTGGGTCAGACTGGACTCTGTACTGGTTACCTCCTGGGAACTGCGGTCCGGATCGGCATACGTCCCCGGAACGTCCGGTCGTCCAACGCGTCCCCGGAACCTGTGGTTCCTTCGGTGTGTCGGCAGGACCAATCAGAGCACCTCTTGGCTCTTGCGATCACATTTGGAGACGGCGCGCCCTCTCCAATTTTCTTGCTCGGGGGTGCCGCCTGCCTTCTAAGGGGCCTCCCTGGCCCTGCGGAGTCTCCTTCACTAACAAAGCCTAACAAAGCCTTCCTCGTTGTCTTTTGGTTCGGGGGTGGGAGGTCGAGAGATGTCGAGAGGAGAGCCGGTGATGCGGGGCTTCTGAAGTGGTGGTTCCCAGACACGACCTGTCTGGGACTGCCAGTCCGGACTGCCGCCCCAGCCAGACCCCCCTGGCACCATCCTGATCGGCATATCATGGCATACATGGAGTGTTTGGGGTGGTTCTTTTTTGCCTGCTTCCGCGCGGTGTCTGGGGGGCCAGTGAGTGTGGAGTGGGTGCCTCTTCGGTGCCCTTGGGGGCGTCCTTGGTAGAGGCTTTCCCCTCTGATTAACTGATTAACATAAGCGGTGCTAAGGACGGTTGGCCTTTGGGTTTGGCCCGAAAGCGGGAAGAGCCGGGAGGTTTGGAGGTGGCTTTCGAGAGAGGACGCCCAGAGTGCTGGGAAGGCAATCTTTGCAGACTTGATGTCACCCTTTACTTGTTGGTATTGTTGATGTGGCCCCAGTGTTTTATTTGGACATGATTCAGGCACAATTATATTATGTTTGACTGTTTGACGTATTTTGAGGTGGCAGACGCAGATGCACTATTAACTACATAAGTTTATGGATGTTTATGGGCCTCCTTCTGCAAGAGATGTGGGGGGGGCAGTTGTTGACCAACACTTTGGTCAAGGTGACCTTCTCAAGACCAGCTCACGGTCACTGAAGCCTTTGCAAGATATTGACAGCTTGGTTAGGGAGAAGTTGTTCACTTCGTTTCTCATTCCTCCATCAACACGACTCCCAACTAGATTCCATCGAGCATCTTGAGAGGTCAGCAGTGGAGCGGGTGTTCCTGTAGGGAAAAACTGCACGTGTTTTAACAACATTATGTGTGTTCAATGTTTGTTGTTTGGACTCTTCAAGCTTCAAGTGGTAGGCGACGCAAAAGATTTCACTGACAGCCACAGTTCAAACCTCTTCTGGCTGCGATAGTTCTTTTGGTACAGTAGCCGGTCGGTTTGGTTTTGCTGCCCGCTTGGAGGCCAACTTTTTTGAGACCTATTCTGTGTCTTGGCCAACAGTGGTCACAGCAAAGGGCCTTGTTTCAGTCAAGAGAAGCAACAAGAAGTGTAATAAGATCAATAAGACTGAACATACAAAACATCAATCATCAACTCTTCAGATTCAGATCATCCTTTTCCACCATTGACTTTATGACAGAAGAGAAGGTTTTTTGCAAATTGGTTCCTGGAATGCGGGGCCAGGCAGAGTGTCGGCGTGAGTGTCGGCGTGTGTATGTGTCCAACGCTAATGCCTAAACAAGGAGAGTGCATGTTGTAGACATATGCTATGAATATTCGTTGTTTTGTGGATAGAATGTTTAGTTTAGTTTTAGTTTTACGGAATAGCCAAGGAGCAACTGACCACTTCGCATAGATAGATTAGATAGATTAGATAGACAGATAGATTCATTGCCTTGCTGCATCTCGCTTTTTGAAGCAAGCTTATCCTTAACTTCACGCCGCAGCGCACCACGCGGGCCGCACGGGCCGCTGTGTTTCAGCCTTCCCGAACTCGCCCTTTCTGAGGCGTCGATCCATTGGTCGATGACGCAATTCACCCCGGCCACCAACGACATCGCGCCGGCCAATGGCTTGGAACGGCTCCCTGGACGCGGATGGCCGAAGCCAGTCGGACGCGCTCCAACAAGCTCGTGGGTATAGAGGATTTCCGTCGTTAGGGCAGAGGAAGTCATGGCGGTTTGGTGTTTTTCCGAAGGCGTGGAAGTCATGGTGCAGTATGGTGCAGTGGTTTGTCCATTGCTCGCGCTAGCTTGGGATCCAAGAATGTCGTTGAAGAGTGCTTTGGAATTTCAGAGATATTGGCTCAACACCTGGCTGCACAGAGTACTATTCACCTGCCCCGACTTTCTACGGTTAATGTCGGTCACCCCTGTCTCAATTTTTCTTTCTGGCATAAACTGAGGATCTTCGCCGTGTGTGTGATTTTGCTGGCCACTGGGCAAGCACTTGAGAAGTTGGAACTGTGCAGGGGCCTTCAAGATCTTCAAGGCAACCATGTGGCTTTTGGTTCATGGCACCCAGGGCCCCAAATCCTGGTATATAAGTGGACCTTCCAGGTAGTCGCCCTTCTGTGCATGTTCGGTGGTCAACGAGGCTCCCCCGGTTGAACCCACTCAGCCAGGTCTAGCAAAACTGCGCGAACTGTTCGCTGCAAGTCCATGTTCGTGTTCGCTACTTTGAGGTAGTCTTGAATATGCGAAGTAAAGAAACGCCCTGCCCCGATGGAAACAACTTACAGCCACTTCATGACACAAGCCAAAAAAATAAGGCACTTGGTCCTGCCTGTCAGCGATTGTCAACGTCGTTTGTAGTCGGTCCGTCGGTTGGTGCGATCGAAAGATCAGACCCTCAGAACTCTCCAAGACATTCCAAGACATAGGTTGGCTACAAAACAAGCTCTTCCAGGATCGGACTTTGTGTAATTATGTAAACCCATAGGGCTCCAAATGCCTCAGAATGTGTTTGGGGTGAATTGGAAGGGTCTCAGTATGTCTCAGTTTACTTGAGGAGGTACGACTGGAGCCCAAACGGGAACATTGGGCAGGATTCTTCTTCTGTTTTGTTAGGAGTTCAAAGGCGCCCGGCACGTCCATCCTTCCACCGATCCGTTAGCCTCGGATGGTCGAGTGGGCGCGAGGCGATTGGTGTTTTCTCCTCCTTCATTACCTCTTTGAGCGCCACGGTGAGTTCCTTAAGGCCTGTCCAAGGGTGGGGGTGACGCTTGGAAGAGGTGGCGCGTGCAACCAAAAAATTCCTGGCCGTCTTCACCGGAGGGAGCTTTTTAGTATCCACCATCAGTTGTCGCCTATGGATGTAATGATACGCTGGAGGTCAAGAACTCCAATCCAAATTTTGGCTTTGGTGCCTGAGCAGAAATCCGCCCAGGGCAGGGGGTGTTCCAGAAAGCCTCTTTTCAAGCCGTGCGCCTAGATCATTCATCTAGAACCCTGGCCAAAGGCCAAAGGCAGCAAGAGTTCCCAACACATCACTTTTGGATCAAGTTGGGGGGTCCACCACAAGCCTGCTTGTTGAAATATGTTTTCTTAGAGATGAATGCACGTGTGGCAGGGTTTCAGCATTTTCATGGAAGAGCTCTCCTGTCCCAGTTCGCCTCAGCCGCCAGATTCATTGTGCCACCGCAACAAAGTCAGCCAAGTGAATCCGGATTTGGGGGGTCACACGGACAGAGTTATATAGGATGCTTGCATGAAACATGTAGGTGCTAGTTTGGGCGGTGGCAGTTCTCGGTCCATCACAACGAATCCCAATAGACCATTGCAGATGGAGGTCGTCCATGATGGAGATAATATTGGATCTTAACTAGTATAATTATGGCTCCCCCCTCCTCCCGTAGCAAGCAATTCAGGGGGCCTGAAGAGTATCACCGCCACAAAGAAGTAGAAGTAAAAGTAGTTTATTATTGTTAGTAGTAGTAGTAGTAGTAGTAGTAGCGGCAGCAGTAGCAGTAGGAGTAGTAGTAGCAGCAGTAGTAGTAGTGGTACTAGTAGTAGTGGTAGTAGCACTAGTACTAGTACTAGTAGTCGTCGTCGTAGTAGGATTTGAAAGGGCAGCAATAGCAGAACAATAATTAAGGTAGTTTGCTTATTTATCCCACCCCCTAAACAATTGATATTATTAACTTTCCCTGGGCTGGTGTACTACCCCCTTGAAAAATTGTTTGGAACAATGAAATCGTTGAGCTCAATAAGTGTTAACGATTTCCAGATCAGAATTCCATTAACCAAGCAAACCTCAGGAGAGTTAGGTAAGGTTGTTAAAGGGGGAGCAATAGCAGAACAATCGAGAAAAGTAAACTGTATACTGTATATGCCAAAAAACACACCGGGTGAAAAAAGTTGTTATTACTCCGCCCCATTAAACTAATCAGGGTGTTTGAATTTCAATGAATAATTTGGCGAAAACGTTTTATAAATTGCCCCATTATACTAATTAGGATGATTAAATCGCAGGTTGCACCACTTGTCCTGGGCCTCCCTTCCTTCCAAGCTCTTCAGCTCATCAGGGCCTCCCGTGCAGAGCAGTTTCAGCAACACAATGCCCTGCTGCAATTCTTCACCGAGAGGCCAGGAAAAGAAAACAAACGGAGCTGTGGAACGCCTGAGTCAGCCTTGCGGGGCGTTCTCAGTGCCATAGAACTGATCATCGGTTGATGGCTGCCCTTTGGGCTGGTATAAGGTATTTATAATATAGATCTATAATATATATATATATATATAAACGTAGATATAGGCACACCCCAACAGATCACACATATAGATTCGTCAAGAAGCTTCTTTGCTATTGATGTCACGGCCTCTCCATGAGCCATGACCTCCACCTCAACCACCGCCCGTCGAGACCCGCCAGGAACCTCTCCACAGACCTCTACTGTCGGGTCACGGAGTCCCTTCGACGGCGGAACGTGAAGAAACGCATTAAGGAACGTGGCTTGGCGCCGGTGGAGTCCGGGTGGAGCACCAGTGCAGAGCTGCGGTGCAGCGGGCGGGGATGTTTCAAGAAGAGCTGCTGGAGAGGTGGATCTGCATATTTAGGTAGATATGATAGATAGATATGCGTTCTTTAGGCCTGAGGTGTCTTCATGTTCACCTTGTTTTCTTGCCTGCTTTGGGTAAGTCGAAACAAGAGCGGGCTCATTCTCATGGTGCTGCTCGGAGATCTTTTCACCCCCATCCCTTCAACCACAAAAGTCAACTAGTTCTGGTGCGTCGTGGAGTTTCAATGCAACATATCATGCAACGAATTGGCCGGCCATCTTTGCAACGAACTGTGAGCTTTGGACTGATCGGCTCAACCGAGATGAAGTTCAGCTCCTGGTGGCTTTGCCGGAGAGGATGTACCTTGACTGCAGCTTCCGCGGCGAAGCCCGAGTTGTGTCAGGGTCAGGAGAATTTGCTTCAAAATAGGATGGAGCTGGAAAGTTCAAAGAATTGGAATAAAGACGAATAATCGAAGGCTTAATGAAATCCCTAAGTAGGGGAGACCCACGTTTTGCGGTGTTCTCCCACCATTTAGCCGATGCCAATTGCCTCTAAATTGTTGCGGTGTTCCTTTTTTGATGGTTTTGGGGGCGTTTGTGCGCCAGTGCTCCCATGTATACCTTCCAGCTACCCAACATTTATCTGGTTTATTTCGGCAGAGATGGTCGGAGTGGTTGTTTATGAAGGACAGCTGGAAGGCTGCTGCAACAAATGTCCTCATTTTCCTCCAAGCTCCTGCGCATACCTACGTCACAGCAGATCCTGTGTGTTCGACCTTGGTGTGGCTAGGCCCTTGGTGTTCTTCACCCTTCCCTCAATCTGCGCTTCACACGCGCAACTGATGTATGTGCTGAGGAAGATGCAGCTGCATGAGGAGATGTTCCTGCCTCGCTTGCAGCCTGGGCTGCAGAGTTGAAATGGGCATCTTAGAAGATTAGAACGCTTGGACTTGGAAGAGGTAAATCAGAAACTGGCGCACTTATGTTTCTATGTATGTGGGCCAACTTAAGTAGGAAATTGGTCTGGGCTGCTTGAGTCTTCTCAACATGTGGATGATGGAGAGCTCATCTGATCAGGATACTTCCAAAAAGCACCTCGCGGCCGCTGGTTTCTCCACTTAATTCGTGGAGGTGTCTCACAGGAGTTCGGCCCTTCAAAGACCTCTCACATCCTGCAAACAAAAACAAAAAACAGCTGCACCTCCAGTTTTAGTATCATAAGGCGTCCTGAAACCGAGAAGACCCGCACATTCAAGCTTGTCCTACTCCCACAGTTTCTGCCGAACATCTGAATATTCACCTGCCGAACATCTAGTTGCGACAGGATCCAAGGGCAAGGGCTAAAGCGAAGCCGAAGCGGCCTCCGGACCAAGGAAATGTCTCCAAATTTGGCCTGAATGGAGCTTGGAGGAGGAGAGAAACATAGAAACATGCCGGCTACGCCCATGTCAGACAATTGACAATTAGGCATGTTGTATTGTTTTCTGCTTCTAATCCAAGTTGACCGCTGTCAGGTGTCAAATTATCTGCTGTACCTGGCAAAGGCAACAACCATGGATCGGCAACCGTGTGGAGTGTCCCTTTGTCTTCAGCCTCTCGCCGCAGGACGACTATTTTTTCCGCACTCTGTGCCACTATGCGGTCACAGAGCATGCTTGTGCTCCCGGGCAGGATGCATTCATGCCAGGACACCGAGCGTCACACAGTGTGAATGTATACCACAACCCTGCCAACTGCCAAGAGTTTTTTTTGATAGCCCCTTAGAGGCTAAGGGGTCAACATGAATTGCCGAATCTTCTCCTTTGCGGCCATCTATGATCCAGAAGATTCGGCAAGAGAATCTGACTTGCTGTGCTCACAGGTCAACATGAATTGCCTCAAGTTGAGGCTGTTTGACACCCTTGAACTTGCTCTTCATCCTGTGATCCACTTGCCTGACCAATAGCCCGGCCTCGACTCACCATCCGGTTGAAGATGACTTCGTCCCACCATTGGGCCCCGTTTCAGACACTGGAACGAGGCCCCGCTTCGCCGGGCGCTTCGGCCGCGCCAGGAACGGACTGCGACGAAGTCTACGTCATCGAGTCGGGCACGATGGGTCGCATGGCGCTTCGGGTTGGCGAGTCTGAATGCCGGGCGCTGGTCCATGTAACCCAGACACTCCATGGGACTGGCATACTTACCTACATTGCTTGGGGTGGTTTGAGGGGGCAACGTAGGCATATATGACAGACATGGAGTGTTTGGGTAATGGTAGACTCTGGATTAAATGATAAAAAAACATAATAACCCCCCATATGAAGTGGCTGTTCTTGTTCATCAAGAGTCTAATGACATATATGCGGTGCATGCGGTATATGGGTGTTGTAGGTCTAGCTCCAGCGTCCAGGTCTCAGAGGGCCTCACCGGTGTTTTCGCAGGGTGTTGGCATACTGAGAGCAGGTGCTGGATCACCGAGATGGCTATACGTATGATTTGCCCAAATGCGTTTGGACATTGTATGCACAAGAGCTGCTTACTGTGAATCTATCGGAGGGTGTCATGATCTGATATATTTGGACTGACTCTGGTGCAATGAGGAACCAATCCTTTATGTCAGAAAGCACTGCGCGGACCAACGAGAGAGTGTGGACATCGTTGTCGGGTTCTTGTAGGGGTGTTCACTCCTTGTTATCTTGGGCTCCAAGAGCATTCTTTTCAAGGTAGTTGACTACCCAAACTCATCCAAACCCTATGCTAGGCCAGCTTGTTGGACTTGACTTCCCTTGCCATCTTAAAGTCCTTTCCGATTCGTGTCCGAGGCTACCTTTACCGAGAGAACATGGCGGAGAGCCTTGAAGAACATTGGTTGGAGGCTTCAAGGATGGTGCCGCAGGATCCACAGAGGAATACAGAATTACTAAGTACCGTGTTTAGCAAAAGGCCCTTGAAAGTATATGTTTCATTGACAGTAAGGTTATACCGAGTTGTAATGAGTATATAAAACCCCAACATGCCCAGCTTGGCTGTAGGCTCACCAGGTGGTGCTTGGGCTAGACACATGTGGATGCGTGTGTATATATATATATATGCATTATATGCACATATATTTACACACATGCATATATAATTACATATATATATATATCGTAATTATATAGATGGAAAGTGTAGAAACATATAGATATACACCAAGGATTTGTTTGGCTGTCACCAATTCCAGTTAGACATTCTAGGCTAGATATGGGAAATGTGTTTTTTAGGCTCTCCGTGTGAGCGGGTGTTGAAATCGATCACCCTCTTGGCCAGAACAGTCCGAGGTTCGCGTGCGAAGAGAATGCGGTGATTTGCTTGCCCAGCCTGTGGGCCGCATGGTACCATCGCGGTCGTTCCGTGGTGGCATTTGGCTTGTACCCACTCATCGGCCTTGGCCGAGATTTGATGGCGTCACCTGGGCCCTTCACCCACCGTCATGTCCAAACGCGCTTGCAGAGGATTGGAGAATGGTTTTTCTAACTGAAAGTGGGAGGCTTCCCAGCTCGACCGCCAGGATGAGGGAAAATAGACCAAAACCCATGGCTGGTCAAATAAATGGCACATTCTTTCTTGCTGCTCTTTCGCCTCTCCGACGCTTCACCTAGGCTTGAGCGCATCATGTGGGAGGCTTGGCTTAACACTTGCGGAGGTTCCACACATGAGCCTCCAGATGCAGGGAACTCATTCCAAGACCTGCAGAGAATCATGAGCTGTTGGTTAAAAGCGCTGTCGTAAGGGAAGTTCCATGGTTGTAATCGTTTAGGATTTTGAACAGGCATGGGAATTGATGTTTGACTTGCAATGGTGCCAATGATGCATGACACTTCATTTGGCGCCGTTTGCATCTCGAAGAGGTTCGCGAGATGAGATGCGTGTGACGAGAGACGTTTTTGTGTATGTGTCCTCTTCTTAGGCTGACACCATTTTGGCTTTGCGCCTCCAAGGACATGTTTCTACGTGGGAATCGACTGCGAAGGTTTCGGCCGGTTGGCCACAAGCCACGGAGGCCTTTGTCTCGTGTGTCCAGTCGCAGGTTCGGGAAATCATTTCAGAGGTCGCTCAGTTAGATTTAGAATGACCTGATTGAACGCACAAAGGGGCTCACCTGTTTGAACGCACCAAAGTTTGATCCATCCCTTTTCTTCTCTACATGCGCCACAGAATGACGCCCGCTGATACCAGCAACACCTAGTGCCCTACAGCCACAGATACTCGAGGTTCTTTGCAACCAAGAACCCGGCCCTTATTTTCTTGGAGTGCCTTTGGTGGAGAACCCGACCCACGAACCGAGCGCCCTTTTGCTTGGAGGCCCTTTGCAGCAATATCTCCAGATCTTTGGAATTCTGTTGATCGGCACCGTGGAGCTCCTCGAAGACCACGGCGAAGAGCTCTCGGACCTCTCGGTGAGTGCCCGGTGGCTGAAGGAGTGGCGGACATGGCCCAGACGGTGCCCAAGTCCTGGCGCTGCTTTCAATACACTCCTATAGACGAACACATCACAGGGAAGTGGATGGCATGGTCCCGGAAGGAAGACTTCCCTTTACAAACAGTAGGGTTTTCCAATTCCATGTTAGTGAGTCGAAGAGCAGCCATTTCGGGCAGGGACTGCTCGAGACCCAGAGATTTGATTCCCCATGGAACTCTGGAGCCGCGAAGCGGCTTCAGAGCGACCCAAAGGGAGTTCCCAACCCTGGCGGTGTAGCAACCCAGAATAGGCTCAGAATAGGCCTATTAAAGTGGCAATAGCTTGCACTAGGATTGGCCCTGAGCATGTGAATGATGGGAGTCTCACGCAGTGTTGTGCATTATGTCTACAGCACTTGGGGGGGACGTAGGGTCCATGTGTCGGCTCACCCTCCCAGCCAAGAAAGAAGGAGTAAGGCCCAGTAAGGCCTTCAACTTGCAAAACTGGAAGAGAATTACCAGGGCATGTCCACAGTTTATGGTTTGCATTTTGTTAGATGTAGCCTGAGACCACCCACGCATATGCATTCCAAACATGAACGGTAGCAAACAGTCCACGACCAAACGCATGGGCCTTCGCATGAATGGGCCCCCTTCAACACTCGAACATCATTGAAGCGCCGGCAGGCCTGGCGGGTATTTTGGTTCACTGAAAGCACTGGCTCCAGGCATTCCTTGAGGGTGCTGGAATTTGAACGGGCCAACACCGCTCAGGTCGAAAAACTTCATCATTTGGGGCACCGGGCGCAGCACCTCTTGCAGAATGCCACTCGCAGCACCGGTCTTGGGGTGGGGAGGCGGGGATTTGTTGGGAAGTTGTGTGGCTGTTGACTGCCACCCTGTCGAACACACAGTACCAGAGCATGTGACTGGAACTCATCGATTAAAACATGATCAAAAATGGTCAAGCCTCCTCTAAAACATCACGAACATTCCCATACTGTTCCTTCAAAGCTCTGAAGAGTGTTCTTTTGATTCGGCGTCCATGCTTGGGTGGCATAGACATTGGCCGCCAGCCATAAAAACCGTCGACAGACTGAAGAAACCCAAGGCGAGCAAGTTCATCCGCCAGCAGTCCAAGTTCAAATCCGAAAGGTCTGCGAGCAAGTCCAGCACAATGTCAATGTAGCCTCGGCTTGGTTTCGAAGCGTCCAAAGGCGACAGTGACATGCTGCGACGCCGACTGGGGCGCTTGGAACGGGCCAGTCTGTGAGCAGTGGCGGTCCAGATTGGAGCTTTTTCTGGTGCGAATTGAAAAAAGACCTGTTTGCAGAAGAAGGTCGTGTTCCTAAGGGGAGCCCCTTTCCATGTGTGCACCTGAACACACTTGCGTTGGTGGTTGACAGGGTTTGATGCGTTGGCAGTCGCTCGACAGAGTTGGCAGTCGCTCCCCAAGGGTCCGCAACAAGGTCCTGACTATATGTGTGTGGGTCACGGATGGTCACGGAGCCCGGTGTACCCTGGTAGGGGAAGACCTCCCTAGTGGTGTGTTTGTTCATTTGGGTGAAGGGGTGAAGGTCTACTGGGTTTGACCCACAACCATATGAGTGCAGTTGAACAACTCGAGCTAGGGGAAGTGTGTTTGTTTAACGAGGTGAACTTTCAAAGGGGGAGCAAGAGCTATACAGAGCTATAATATGCTATAATTGTTGTATCATATTGTATCAAACATATCCAAGTAAGAGCCTAGCCAACGACATCAAAGGATACCCTCCACATTGAGGGCAAGGTAACGCATTGTAACGCTATCATGGATCCACAACCGATGAGTTAAAGGCAGGCATAGCTGGTGTTCCTTCACGCTCGAGGTTCTGTTTCTTCTGGGTGCACGGCCCATTTCAATTTCACCAACCAACTGAAGCAACATCTGAAATTGGCATCTGGGCCATCCAATCCTTCGTGCCAGGGGGAGGCTTGAATCGCGCCAAGCACCTTGGATGTGGTGGTATCCTGCGATTGCGATGTTTACACTTTGGTACTCCCACCCTGAAATGGCCTTGAGATGGCCTGTTCATGACTTGGTGCTTTCCCAGGGACACGAGAGGGCGACGGGTTCCATGTGCTCAGACCAGACCATCCATGTACCAGCATCCTTCTGCAGGTCTCCTTTGGAGGGTTGTTAGGCCTTAAGAGGTCTCAATTGGTGACCTGTTGGAGGTGCTGGTATGGAAAGGATGGTTTGGGTATGTTCAAATTTCCGGATGGGAGTGCACCAAATCCATATCCCAGACTCATTTGGTTGAAATTCTGACATGGTCACATGCTTTAGTTTAAATGGACGTGCCTCCTGTTTGGTGAAGATTCTGGGGCCTTCCAGCACTTACAGCAGATGGTCTGAGCGACATGCGACATAGGCTCCTTTCTCGCTCCAAATCACGGCGCACCCTTGGGTTTGAAGCCCACAAGCAGAACTTACTGTTTAGCAGTGTTGGATATCCATGTATATCCCATTACCGGTATCAGTGGATGATGATGGTTAGGTTGCAGGCCTTGCTCTAAAGTGGTGAGAATCAATTGTGTTTACCGACTGTTGCAGGTAGTGGGGCAGATCCCACAAAGTCTTGGATTGGATTTCCGGCGCCGAAGGACCCGTTGGTCTCCACTGCACATTTGGGGGTGTTCCATTCGCCCAAATAGTGAGGTCGCACCTTCCATCCATCCCCGGTCGGAGCAAAGAGGGAGGGTTCCATGGTTGGTGGTGCTTTGTGGGCCACGTCTCGAGTCTCGAGCCTCGGGCCGTGTCGAGTCTCGGGCCATCCCAGGACTTAACTAGACATACGACACATACCATCCAGAACCACCCTGGTGTCCGAACCTGAGCTTCTCCTTCTCTGTTCTGACTTGGACTTGGGGAATCCCATTTTGAGTTCCTTTTCCTCAATGATTCCCGTGACCCGAAAGAAACCCTGATGTCCGACCCAGCCGCCCCTGATCGCACGTTCAACGCGCTCAGGAACTCTGCGCCAAAGCGGAGGCCTTGTCACGGAGCAGCTCCTGTGCCACACTGGGACTGCCGCCGGACGACTTGGTGACCCTGTGAGCGAGGCGGGCAGAGGCCTGACCTCATGGGGAAGGGTTGGAATGGTTCTGGGGTGGCGGCTTGAAGGGGAGAAAAGAAGAGCTAGGCTTACAATAGAATAGATCTGTGATGGATTCTTACGGGAGGTTCTTGAACTTTGTGCAACAGGTTATCCTAGCATGGGTATGGTTGACCATTGTTTCGGGTCCGGCGGGATGAATCTAGGATGGGTGATCTCGTTAGATGTTCCACTTTCTTTGTGCGAGTCGTTTTTTGCATGATCTTGACTGTTGACGAGTGTGGCATTTTTGTGGCCATGCTGCGGGTCATGCGCTACCTTTTGGAAAGCACATTGGTTTGGAAACAGGCAGGCTGGTGGTTCATTTCGGCTTTTGCTGAAGGTTTTGGCAACCCCGAGAGTGGAAGCAGATGAGAACGCTGCGAGCCGCAGCAGACAAACCATCCAGGAGCACGCTGACCGCCTCCTTTGAGGGCGGACGCTAGCGGCTGCCGCGTGCACTGGGGGACTCGCACCTCCAGCCACATGGCTACTGGCTGCCAGATGCTGCCTTCTAGGATAGCTGCCGGATAGTTGTGTTGGGCAGACATCAACAGCTTCTTGACAGTCTGAGGTTTCAGACAGCGTTGAATGGGTCAGTCTTGGGCTGTAGGTGTTTGGGGTTCCTTTCTTCAACCCTCCTCACTGTGCATGACCTCTTCACTGAGAGGTTGAAAGATTTTAACGGGTAGGCCACAGGATGGTTCAACTGACTAGACTAGACATGACTAGACTGATTGAGCCTGGCCTGATATGCAGGGGAGTTCGGGACCAACACAAAAATTGCAAATACACTCCCTGACCATGAAATCCTCTGCAAACAGGGTGTGCCAGCCACTTCCATGTTAGTTCCGGGGAGAGTAGACCACCTTCACATTGCTTGGCTGGTCGGTTGGCTGTCAGACAGCCACACCGGTAGGCCCCATGGGGCCGTGTGGGAAAGGTGCTTGGTGCAGACCGGACCTCTTAACCCAGGCTTTGGTGAATGGAACTTTTTGTTGGGCTTTTGGATTTTTAATATATGGCAGACCCCTGAGCAGAGATCACAAACAAAGGGAATGGATATGAAGGGATAAGGTGTTCGGGACCCTCCAGCGGTGAATCGGTTCTTGTTGCCGTGACCACACTCACCATCACCCGGAGCGAATCGACGCAGGTTTCTGGACAACATCTAACACAAGAAACATGAAGAAACCCAACACCATTCATGGATTATGTGGGTCACATTGAGTCAGAAATTCTGTACTGCACCAACTCCATCATCCAGTTTACAATGCCGCTTTGTTCTTGGTCTGAAGCAACCCGTTTCGGTCACCGCTGCAGGGCTTAACGGTCCGGTCACGTCCGGCACCGGCCGCTGGAACGCCGAACGCCTCGGCCGAAATCGATCGATGGTCTCGTGGTCAGGACGGTCGGTCTCGGGAAATCAGTGGAGCGAAGTTCTACAAAGAAGCACAGAACGCCTATTGCAAGTGATACAAGAAGCACATATATAAATACATATATAATTAGAAGCACCATGCATGTGTTTTGACTTTTGGGGTTCCAAGTGTTCTGAAGTCAGACAGTCGGAATCAGCCAGACCGGAAAAGAAGACGTAATTAAGACATATTAAGACGTGAGACAAGCAGGACCAGAAATCATGGGTCTTTGAGGCGTTGGTTTCAGAAAGAGGTTAATTATGGTAATGTTATGGTTTAAACAATATCAGAAGTGAGTGGATGATGGAAGGATGCGGAAGGCGTTAGCATAAATTCATAGACTCATAGACCATATGCCATATATGGGTCTTTGCACAAGTAATTCGACCACATCTCTGCAGCTGCCACAGCAGCGTGGGTGCTTCTTTGGGTTCCTTTTTGCATGGACCACCTGGTGCGTAGAACAACTCGACAGCTGGTGGACCGTCCTGGAGGGACGTTCTCCACCATTTTGCGCGAGGAAGTGGGCCCAAGAAAGGGCCGTCGTCACGGGTCACCTAACTTCAGAGATCTTGATGTGCAGAGTTTGTGATTAGACACCGTTGACATTAACTTGATCATTTACATTGGCGTTGACAGTGGTGGAAGAAGTGCAAAACATTGAAAAACATATGTCAATGCCTGTGGACTTCCTGGGTGCCCCGACGTCTGGATTCTTGTTTTCAGCTTTTTGGTCCCCACCCTGATGGGCAGGGGCTGTGCCAAAGTCCCGAAACCCACCCAAACACTCCACAAGAGTTGGTGCTTCAAGCATGTAGCATTATGTAGTACATACATTCTAACCCATGTGACATTACTGCATATAACTGCCATACGGTACTATACAGTATATCAGAGTCCTACAAGCATTACATATGTGACCCCCTCAAAAAAGGATCAGTTCAGCCACCTTCAACTGATTAGTGTTCGAGTCTGAGGAGTGCTTGGGTACTGTGGAACCTGACGTCCTGAGAGATGACTGCAGTAGATGGACCCTGCCATAACTGCCAGACGGACAGTTGGGTCCCAAGTGCTCCATCAATTCATGACCCCATGTTGCTCTTGTGGTCAGGTTCCATGAGGGTTCGTTGCGGGTTGGTTGACTTCTGACTTTGGATGTAGAAAAGAGCTCGCCCGTCGACATGTTGATCGGACAGGTCGGATCGGCTTGGTGTTTGATGTATTTTGGTGTGCTAATGGCCTAGACAGAATGATTGATTAACTTCTGCCCATGCACATTGAGCATGCTATTGCTGTGAATTGCTGTCAGGACACCTGAAACACTGTTAGCATTGAGTGCTTTACACTGAATCTCCATAAGTCAAAGCAATTCTTAATTTAGTTCTCTTCTGGTCGGCCTTTCTGGTCCTTTCTGGTGGCCACTATTAGCAACGTGCTGTGGGTTCTGGGTCTCTTCTGGTGCATGCGCTCCAAACAGGCCGACTGGCCCCTCAAAACCATAGGGATTTGAGGGTCCGGACCCCTCCATATGAGGGTACGGCCCCTACTTAGCAGGGTCCAGGGTCGCGTCTGCAGGGTATATACCAGAAAAGTTGAACTGTGTGTGAAAGCCAAACCGTACCATCCGTTTTTGATCGTTTTGGTGCCTCTTGTCCCACGCAGTGTTCATCCGTCCTTTCGGCGCCGGTTGAAGTTGTTGTGAGAAGGTTACAGTGGATCCCTAGGTCTTGATACTTCACCCATATATATGTTGTTTTGGTATGGGTGAAGTATCAAGACCTAGGGATCCACTGTAACCATTGTTTTTTTGTATGTTTTTGTTGTACGGAATCATTATTGTAGACTCTGGCTTGGATTCCAACCCCCGGGATACCAGGCCTTGCAGGTGACTCGGGGTGCACCCATCGGCCCTGGTATGAATTCCATTTAGCCTTCATCCATAGGGCTCCAGCCATACCTTCAAAAGTGGGACTGGGTGCCCGGGTGCCAGGTCCAGTCATACGAACCAGGTCGGTTCGGTACGACACTCGTCCTGGAGCCCGTCCGAGGCAAGACGTCCCCAGCTTCGCTTCCCCCGGCCCCGGTGGGAGAGCCCAGGGGAGCTGAACCGGTGGGTGTGGGTGAAGTGGAAGCCCAGGTGAGTGTTAGACCATTTAAAAACGGTCTTTAGATGATCCGAAAATCAATTTCCTTTACTTGGGTGGTGCCTAAAATAGTCTTTGGACTTCTAGGGTGTTTTGTATATATATATATATATATACCTACTGCACCTTCCGTCAACTTTTTTTTGGGTGGAAATCGCAATACCTGGTTTTGCACGTAATCGGACAAAAAACCAGGTTTTCGGGTTTCGTCAGGTTTTACATGAACATGGAGACCTTTGCTGAGACCTTCAACCGTTTCTCGAGGGTTCCGTGAAGGGCGGACTGAGATGTTCCAGATCGTAGTAGACCCAACATGGCAACAAGTATGGAACAAATGGCACTTGACCATACATAGAATAGAACAATGGATCCATCGACTAGAAACATTGATGTTCCACGACTTCACCAATCCTTCCTTGGGTGTCCGTCTCATGCCTTGCATGCGTGACCGCTCGTGACGGCATGCCTACGTACGTGGACAAGTTCACCATCTTTGGAACCACTGCCAGAGCCCAAGGTCTGCTGTCTTTTTTCCGGCGGTCGGATCTGGGTGCAGCCGTGAAGGGTTCCTTGGGTGCACGGACATGTCTTTGGTGCCCGAACCGGTTCGAACAGAAACCCTTGTTGGAATTCAGGACTGCTTGGATCACTGCAGCTTTTTCTGGTTCAATCCGTGGTTGAGGTTGTGCACACACCCTTTGTGGTTTGCCCATGGACTGTAGAGGGCTAGCGGTGGCCTGGGAAGGGCAACTTCCCTTGAGGGAACAGGTCAGGGGCTGTGGCAAGCTGGTCACCCACCCATCTACAGAGAAGTTCTGCGTTGCGAACAGGGCAAACTGCAAAGCTAACAAAGAGATCTTGAAGCCTGTCTTGGCCAGAATGGCTCAAACACCGAAGTATGTCTTGCCCCACTTGGATCCTTTGCAGGCTGAACTGATTGCATTGGCCAACAAGTTAGGCCTCCCTGTGTCAGAGAAGGGGGTCTACCAACCGGCTGTGGAAATCAAACGGCTTGCTGGCTTTGTCAAGAGACGAGTCACTAGAGGAGAGTGCACGAAGGAGCCAAGTTTCAATCTGTGTTGTTTGATGTTTTTGAGTGATTTGGTTTTAGGGTGGATTGGATCCAGTGCTTTGAATCCTTTAACAGCTGATGAGTCACTATTTGAATACACATTCAATTGTTGGCCATCATGGGTCATGGGATGGGATACCTCGTTTATGGGTCTTTATCAATATACCTTGTCTTCGAGACTCTGGTGCACCCTGCTAGGATGTTGGATTCCATGAGCTCTACCTCACTCTGGACCCAAATGGGAAGGACAAAGAGTTGCCGCATGCCGCATTTCCGTTCCTTTTTGTGGGGTTTAAAGTTTTTGTTTCTAAACCCCACAAATTTAGTAGGATAAACCATGCCCGATCCATGAGGTTATGATTTTCTGGCCCTGTGAAAGGACCTCATCGATGCCTACATGACATCTCGCCGGGGTCAAGATTCGCAAGACCCTGATGATGAGGTGGATGATCAGGAAGAGGATCCTGATGATCCAGTGGACATGGTTGAATTCCAGAAATGGTTGGATTCCAAAGCTTTGGACAGCAAACCCGAGAGTTCTGAGGTGGCCCCCTCGAGTTCAAGTGCAATTACATCCCCATCAGGGACTATGACCCCTCCATCTATGGTTCCGAAGCACTGTGGTGGTTTGAAGTCGAACATCAACAGCATCTCGAACCATGAGATAGGAACTTTGTTCATATTTTGGTTGATCTTATGAATCAATGGTTTTATGTTGAAAGTGCTTGCCCTTCATGGCTCAGGTGACAAGCTTGCTCAAGTCCGTGCTCTGATTGCTGAGAAGAAGCAGGAGCTGCAGCGGAAGCGGGAGCTTGAGGAAAAGTCATGTCCTGAGGCCGTTTTTTGAATCGTTCAATCATGCATGTGAAACAAACCTTTGTAAGGGTAGGCGGTAACAAGAAAATTAGACTCAGTCGCCCTTGACCTTAGGCTTTGAGCCTATAAACCCTCACAGTCACACCCACTGACCAAGGTCTGCGGCAAGTGCACCAATGGAACCAGTGGAGCCTTCAGGAGCAACATCTGTGTCCAGGCTTACAGGTGCAGGTATGATTTGACTTTTCCGGAAATATGATATACAATATACACTTTACCGGACACTGAACACAAATATCCCAGAGTCCAGAACCCTTCTGTCGAAGCATGCCCCATGGCCCTTTGTGAGATTTTAATTGAAGAGACACCGGATGACAGTGACCCTCAAACCAACCATGCCTTCCCCATCGCACACAGGAGCCGTGGCCGTGCCTACGCCTACGCCTACGCCTGTTTTTGATTGCGATGATACACAACCATATCTGACTGTGTTGCCGGACGACACGGACAGCCAGCCGGTTGTTGAGTCACCTCTACGCGGTGAAAGCCAACCCGCGCCAACTCCCCCAATCGAGGCATGTGATTTCAAATGTTCTCAGGAGGTTTGCTTCTAACTTCAATGGATGTCTGGTGCTGAAGGAGGTTTTAGTTCAAGAATTAAGATCGAAATTGTAGATCTCTTTGAATGCCTGCAACATCATCCTTGCCCTTGGAAATTAAGACATCTCTGGACTAACCTTGTATTGCATGGATGACCTTTTGTCTACCTGTTCCCCTGGCCAGGTTATCACTCGGCGGGATCAGCTGAAGATGAAAGAGAAGCAGGCAGAGGAGAAAAAACTCAAGGCTGCGGAGAAGAAACTCGATGATGTTGGAAAGTCAGATGATGGTGAAAAAACTCAGAAGCCTGATGCCAAGCGTGCCCCCAAAGCTAAAGCAAAGGGGAAGGCCAAGCCCCGGGCCAGAAAGGACAATGAGAAGGAAGAGGATGAGACAATTCGAACCCCGAAGAAAAAACTCTTCCAGTCCGATGATGAGGAAAGACCCCAATCCGACAGTCCAACTCTCTATCTCGACCCGGTGACTGGAGAGGCAAAAACCTTGGACCAGATCTTGGAGAGCTATGTTCCAAAAAAGCACCAAAGGTCTCAGTCACAACCTTCAAAAAAGAAGAAGGCTCAAAGTGAGCAAGAGATGGCTGACGCCTCTAGGGAGGTCAAGGATTTGAAGCCGAAGGCGAGGGTAATGCCAGATCCAGCCACGAAAGCCAAGCCATCGAAAGAAACAAAGAAGCCGAAGGCCAAGCCTGAGCCCAAGCCAAAGACGAGTCAGAGGAAAAACAAAAGAAGAAAGGCGGCTGAGGAAGATGAATGTGAAGATAAGGAGGATGTCAATATGCATGATGAGGAAGCACGCGAGGAAAAGCAATCATGTGAAGATGAGGAAGCAAGCCAAGATGAAGGAATGGTTGATGAAGGGAAATTGGAGGAGGAGGAGGAGGAGGAGAGCGCTGCAAAGAAGCCCCGTGCCAAAGCAAAGGGGAAGGCTAAGGCTAAGGCCCGGGGCAAAGCCAAAGCCAAAGCAGCCAGCAAGCGTATCCAGGAGTCACCTTCAGTCAAGAAGGAAAAGAAAAGGAGGAAGCAAAGGAATGACTCTATGATGGAAATGCAGCCAGCAGACATGGAGGACCAACCCATGCAAACCAGCTTCGTGAGCCACCTCAAGAGGACCGAGGACCTTTCCGAGGAAGAGGTTAAGGATTACCTCAAATGCAAGGTTGGTGACAACTTTGCAATGTTGGCCTTCTCCAACTATTGGAAGGACAAGGCAGTGGGGGTGGTTGCAAAAGCAGACAGGGCCCACATCACATACTTTGGGTTCGGCAAGAGTACCACCTGGAACCATGGCATCACTCTGGCTTTTGTCAGCGCACATTTCTTTGTGGCTGGTCTGACTGGTTGGATCCTTTTTGTGTTGATACTTTTAGTTTCCCACCCCCATCAATTGAATGGTATGGACACACTTCAAGAAGCCTTTTCACACACCATGCATCTCAAGAATGTGTGCCTGACCGGTGTCACTTGAGGCGACCTACGTGCACAAGGAATACAATGAAATCCCGGATGACTTCAAGGATCCTACTTCAGGTGTCCAACGGCAGGTTGCCATCATCAAGTACAACGCAGGCCAAGCGCTGAGAAGGCTTCAAGGGTGATAGCGGGCACTGACTCATGGTGTGTGAAATTGGCATGATCTGAAGTTGGAAGGCAAAGCTCCAACTTAATCACCACAATGAATCATAGTCTCATATAAAATCATCTCATTTAAGCTGAAAATAGCTCTGGTTCAATCCTTCCACACAGGCCATGTCATGATTTTGAAAGTCACTGACATGTGACACGTGCGCTTTTGTGTGGCCAAGTGGCTGGAGTGAGATTGCAGCCCTGATGATGCCTCCTTAGGCTTGGGGTCACTGGGGTATATGCAGGCAGGTGCCAGGAGGCTTGAAAACATGTATATACCTTGAACATTCCAGGCCTCATAGTAACCAAGACAACGCATTGAACTTGAACACCAATGTCCGGTCCGTGACTCGTGATATATCACCTGATTTCTTACATTGTGTTTGCCTGCATATGGGGCTCGGCCATTGCCCAAAGAGTGGTCACTGATCCCAACAGGCGGCTTTGAAGGGTGCGTGGGGAGAACCTCATGCGAGCAGCAGTGATGGGCCAGCTCAAGTCCAAAAGTGCTGTCTGGGTGACTGCTGGTTCAGGTTATGTGGTTCTCGGTGGGGTAATGCAAGTGGAAAGGTCAATGTCAAAACATTGGATTTCATGTTGAGTGTTTAATCAACTCTGCAGGCCCTGTGCGGATGATCGAAATTGGAACATGCCCTGCCCCCTTTCCCTGCAAGCTTCTCGCTGTCGCAGCGGTCGTCCGAGGCCAAATGCCACCTCCTGGGCTTCGAGGCAACAGATGGGCTTTGAAGCGAGGTCTTCTTTTAGATGAAGTGAGTACCCCTTACATGTTTGAACTGTTCTTGGGGTCATTGAAAACTATTGCAATATTATGGCAACAAACTTGGAATGCACCTTTGTGGGTGCCACACAGAGCTCTTAGATCAATGTGCTTTCCACGTGTACCGATGAAATACCAGGTTTGCTTGTGGTTTATGTGCAGTCTGGATGAGTTGGTGTGGCTTTGTGTGTGCTCATCAGCGGCATCCTTGCTTCAATTAGGTTTTCATGACACATGCAGTGAACAGTTCTTTAAAGAAGTGCTGGCTGTAAATACCAAGACTTTCATGGATTGTTGTTCAAGTCAACATATTGCATATACTCCGTCATTCAAACCTATATGTTCCACGCTGATATGTTGCATGTTGGGTGGGGCCACTCGCCTTTTGCACCATAGTAGCTTTCCGGGGAAAGCTATGGCCTTCAGTGAGAAGTTCATCAATGACTTGTGCTGGCGCTTACGCGCTTTTGGTGCGCCCAAGGTCGCAGGATCTGGAGCACTTTGAATCGGATATGTGTTGAACTTTTGTGTCAGCAACTGTATTTTGTTCAAAAACCGAGCTACTTATTGAGATGGGGTGTGTTGCAGGTCCTTG